TTCTGTTTGCAAATCTGTAGTTGACCATGATTTTGGAGGGGGTATCTGTAGGTTATGGTTCTCCTCTGACGTTAAGTGACAGCTCCAGCAAGATCAAGAAGGGGACGTCGGGCGATTTGACTGCGTTGAAGCCTACGCTGATGATCGTTGTTCCTACGATTCTCGATCGCATCTACGATGCGGTGAAGAAGCAGGTAATTACTTCGTGTCAAACACTCGGTGATTACTATACCTTGGGAGTCGAACCAGCAACCTGCTTCGTCAAATAGCCTACCTCTCCTTCCTCCTCTCCCTCTTCTTCCTCTCCCTCTTCTTCTTCTTCTTCTTTTTTGGCAACCTGCTTCAGCAAATAGACTACCTTTCCTTCTCCCTCTCCCTCTTCTTCCTCTCCCTCTTCTTGCGTATCCCTCTCCTTCTTCTTGCTCTCCTTCTTCCTGTTGTTCCTCTCCTTCTTCGTCTTCCTCTCCTTGGATTGAAATCTACAGACTTTCGAAAAACTAGTCTCTTCTTTTCACCACATTGCCTACTTTATCAGCTTTCCTTTTTGGCGGCAACGACAGGAATTTCACAAAATGAGGTTATATGGTATTCGCTTGTGATATCTCCAGTTTTTCTGTGAGTGTATTTCATCTGATGAACCATGCTCTTTTGAAAGCATTACTTTTTTTGAGTGCAGGTTCTGTGATTCATGCCATGTCTGATGAACCAGATATGCACAAAATGGGGGGGGGGATTAGCTTCTTTGTTACCTTTACTTATGGTATGATGCTAATAGGCAGCATGTCTTTGATTGGATTTCCTCGTAAATGGTAACAAAGAAGCTAGTCCTCCCATTTTGCTCACGTCTTGTTCATCAGACATTGCATGAATCTCAGAACCTGCACTAAGTAATCGTTGTCTTCTTCTTCTTCTTCTCCCTTCCTTTCCCTTCTCCCTTTCCCTCTGCCTCTCCCTCTCCCTCTCCCTCTCGCTCTCCCTCCTCTCTTTCCTCCTACCTCTTCCTCCTCCTCCCCTCTTCCTCGTCCTCTTCCTCCTCCCCTCCTCCTGCTCCTTCTTCTCCTCTTCTCCTCCTCCTCCTGCTGCTGCTCCCGCTCGTCCTGCTGCTCCGGCTCCCCCTGCTCCTCTTGCTCCTCCTGCTCCTTCCTCTTCCTCTTCTCGTCCTCTTCTCCTCCTCCTCTTCCTCCTCCTCCTCACCTCCCTTCCCCTCCATTCTTCATCTTCCCTTTCTTCTACCCCCTTCCTCTTCTTCCCCTTCTTCTTCCCCTTCCCCTCTTCTTCTTCTTCTTCCCCTTCTTCCTTCCCACTTCCCCTTCTTTCCCTTCCTCCCCTTCCTCCCCTTCCTCTTCCCCTTCTTCTTCACCTTTTGGCCGCTAGGTATCACGAAGCTCAGGATCCGTTTTCTAGAAGTTACGTGTGTCTATATCATGCAGCTACATAGGTTCGGTTTCTTCTTTCTTCTTTGCTGCGTTCTCCTCCTCTTCCATCTGCTCCTCTCGTTTCTTCTTCTCCCGGGCCTCTCTCTCTTCTACAAGGAGCTATGTACTCATCCGTTTTTTTTTCCGGTTTTTTTTTTTTTTTTTTTTTTTTTTTTTTTTTGTGAGGCCACTGAGGCGTCCTCTGCTTCCGTTGGGATTTGAACTCGTGACCACTTACATGTGTGTATCATGCAGCCACATGGACGGGGTGGTCATCCAGTCTCTCACAGACTCACCCTTCCCTATCTGTATCTCCTCTGTGTGTGTGTGTGTGTGTGTGTGTGTGTGTGTGTGTGTGTGTGTGTGTGTGTGTGAAGCACCGCGTGATGTCACAATTTTTGCCTCTGATGTCTATTATGCTTATGATGATATTCTTTCCCCTTTTCCCTATGCTGAATGTTTGTATGGTTCATTGTGTTGAATTCTGTCTAAGGGGGAGGGCCTTGAGGTATGGTTTTTGAATTGCCCGTGATGCCTTTTACTCATCTGATTCCACCTGCATTCGAACTCACCAGTTCATGGGTGTACGGACTGTGCTTGAGCAGTTGGTGCAACTGAGCTACTTCCACCGGGAATTGAACTTGGGTCTGTATTTCAGCAGTTCATTGGTGTAGAACACCTGAGGTAGGCCAGTTGCTGTTTGTATTGAAAAAAAAAAAATGCTTGTTTGGTTGTTTTTTGTGCGTTTCTCGACGACCAGGTGGATAAGAAGGGAGGCTTTTCGAAGGCGCTTTTCGAATTCGCTTATAACCGGTGCCTCCTCGGTATGGACGGAAAGTGGTGGGGCGCACATGGACTAGAGAGATGGTTCTGGAATGCTCTTGTTTTCAACAGGATGCGAAAAAGTATCGGTGGGCGGATGCGGGGAATGTTTTCGGGAGGCGCGCCGCTCGTGCCAGAGACGCAGCGATTCATGAACATAGGGTTCGGGTGAGCGCCGCAGCAATAACCAGTACCTCGTTCCTGCAAACCGAATGCACGCTGAACGTGATGGTATCGGGCGTGAAATATAGCTTATTATATATGCATGATGAGATCCGGCAGAGAGAGAGAGAGAGACTAGGTGTGGGAGTGGTGGATGGTGGGGGGTGGTCACACGTTTAAACACGGTGTCATGGCTTTACTGGTCAAGAAGACTTGGCTCTTGTGGCTGAGGGTGCTTTAAGTCCATGCGTGCGTGAACGGATGGACCTCAGGCCGCAGAGTATGGTTCCGTAACTACTCATCATGACGGGTGGGAACCAACCGTCTAAATTGCGTCAGTCTCAGGGCCAGTAATGCCTGTGACAGAGTCATCTGCATATTGCACATAGCTAAGACATCCAAAGTTCGGGTCCATGGGGTCTTCGCCTTTTTTTCGCCAACCTCGTGGCTGGCATTGCCACAAAGTGGCCTCGGTGAAGCTGTTGTCGTAGGCCCTTAGGGCCTCTCACTTCACTGCTCGACGCTCATCGAATGTCAAAAATGCAGCAAGTACTGTGTCCTATGTACGGATAGTATGTACTCCTCCCTTGTAAGGATTGTATTTACTACGTGTCCCATTATATGTATAGTGTGTACTATGTCCTTTGTAAGGATTGCATTTACTACGTGTCACAATGTACGTATAGTGTGTACGTATAGTGTGTACTATGTCCTTTGGAAGGATAGTATGTACTATGTGTATGGATAATATGTACTATGCACCCGACAGGAAGCGATGTTGCTTTCTTTAGGTCCTTGCTTCACCGCTCACCAACCAAATGTCAATGAGACCAAAAGGTGGTGAGTGTATGGAGTTAATAAATGTTCCCTCCACCTTCTACCATCTTCACCTGAATAGAATGCCCGGTCATTATAGCTGTATTTGGCACAACACAACTTTCGGTCCTGATACGGCGATAATGACTGGGTGTTCTATTCGGGTGAAGATGGTAGTTGTAGATATACTTGCCATTTTCACACATTTGGTGCTGGTTGAGTGCAGCGAGGGTCGTCTTTTGAGTGTTGCTTGGTTTGTATAGACTCGTTACTAATTGTGCTCAACTCGCGGTTGAGGGCCTCACCTCACCGCTTACAAAACGTAATTGGATCAGGTACCCTCTGGCCCTCAGCCCTCCTCCACGCAAGCACGGACACGAACCCGCGACCTTGGTGTCAAAAGCCGAGTATCGTAACCACTACAGCCAGGACACTGTGTGTGGAAGCGGAACCATACCGGCGGTGATGATATCCGCTCCACCCCTGCAAGGCTGTAGTGTCCACACTCAACGCTCACCACACACAACACCACATGGACTCTGGCAATCGCCTTTGCTCCCGAGTAGCACATGACCCCCGTCGGTAGCATACCGGCGGTGATGATATCCGCTCCACCCCTGCAAGGCTGTAGTGTCCACACTCAACGCTCACCACACACAACACCACATGGACTCTGGCAATCGCCTTTGCTCCCGAGTAGCACATGACCCCCGTCGGTAGTATATAGCCCGCTCACTTATGCGGGGCTTTAAAGGACCTCCAGTACATGGGCACCTGCGCTATGGGCCTGACACCTTAAATTTTGGAGGCGCGACACGAAAACGCGACCGCCGATCGAATTTATTGACGGTGGGCCGAGCGTTTGATGTTCCGTCCTCGTCTTCTTGCGGACAAGTTTCGGACTGCAAGGCCCGTGTACTTGTCGTTTAACTGCCCGCCACCAGTTCACGGGGGAACTTTCCAATGTCATTGGATCAGTACCTCTGGGCCTCAGCCCCCTCCTCCGCACAAGCAGGAAATGTCAATAGGACAGAAAGGTGGCGGCAGGCGTATGGTGTTTAAGTGTTTCTTCCACGACACATTCGGTGGTCCCAAGTGCTCGCGACGGTGTTTTGAGTGTTGTGTGGTTCAGACGCGTCGTATAGACTCGTTAGTAACTGTTCTTAACTCGCGGTTGAGGGTTTGGGCTCTCACACCGCCGAGTTGCACCTGCTATGTAGTCGGTGTCGAGTTGCACCTGCTATGTAGTCGGTGGGATTGCTTGCACAAACCATTGAACGCGAAGAGAATCTGCTCCTTGACGTCTCGGCTAGAACGCTGGACTCGTTGACGGATAGTATGAGCAATTTTGTAGTGTGTGCATGTGCACACACCAACGAGCAAACATGTAGAGAGACTTTGCCATGAAGTGTCTCGGTTCGAACTCTTGACTCTTTGATTGATAATATTATGTGCGACAGGTAGAGGCCCAAGAGGTAAGAGGAGACTTTGCCGTGAAGTGTCGGTTAAGTCTCAATTTATTGATGGATTGTATGTGTGAGAGATAGTAGTCTGCGCACCGATCGGTGCAAACACGGGGGAGACACGACACTCTGCCCCTTGATGTGAGACTTTCACTTTTTTCATATGGATCTCTCTTCTTAGAATCTGGGTTTGAACTCGCGATGCAGAGACTTTGCCGTGAAGCTTCCCCAGATTCAAAAAGTAATAACAAGAATAGCAAGCCCAATAGCAGATTCTGCAGCAGCTGCAGTTAATACGAATAAAGCAAATAATTGACCCATAATGTCATCTATAGATAAGCAGAAACATACTAAACTGAATTGAAATTAATTGCTGGAGTAGAAGGATTGAAAACTTTGCATGTCGGTACCAAAAACCGACGCCCGCCTTTCCACTTGGCTATACTAAAAAATGAGATAATGCGACCGACCAACCAACGGCTTCAATGTCTTAGCTTTCAAACTCCCAATTCATTGATGGGTAGTATGTGCTTTGTAGTTGTGCAGTGATGGACAGTATGTGCTCTGTAGTTTCTGCATGGGCAGACGGACGCTACGTACCATGTTGTTCGTGCACTGATGAGCCGTGAAGCCTCCGTTCGGACTC